TTCTCTTTTTCTTGGCAGCTGCATAACAACCTTCTACCAATATACCCACGGTCCCTCCTCTGGACATGTCCAAACCATCTCAGTCTGGTCTCACTAACTTTATCTCCCAGTTGTTCAACCTGTGCTGTACCTCTGATGCTCTAATTTCTAATCTTATCCATCCTTGTCACTCCTAAGGAGAACCTCAACATCTTCATTTCTGACACTTCCAGTTCTTTCTCTTGTCTTTTTGTCCTCGTCTCTGTCTCCAGACCATACAATATAGCTGGTCTCACAACTGTCTTGTAAACTTTTCCTTTGATATTTGCTGACACCCTTTTGTCACAAATCACTCCTGAAACTTTTCTCCATCCACTCCATCCTGCCTGGACTCTCTTTTACACCTCTTTACCACATTCCCCATTTCCCTGGACAGTGGACCCCAAGTACTTGAAGTCCTGCACTTTTGTGACCTCTGCTCCTTGTAGCCTCACTGTTCCACCGGCCTCCCTCTCATTCACACACATGTACTCTGTCTTACTATGGCTGACTTTCATTCCTCTTCTTTCAAGTGCATATCTCCACCTCTCCAAGTTCTCTTCCACCTGTTGCCTGTTCTCACCACAGATCACAATGTCATCTGCAAACATCATGGTCCACAGGGATTCCTGCCTGACCTCATCTGTTAGTTGGTCCATCACCAGAGCAAACAAGAAGGGGCTCAGAGCTGATCCTTGATGCACTCCCACCTCCGCCTCACTCCTACAGCACATCTCACCACTGTCCTGCTGTCCTCAGACATGTCCTGTACCAGTCTAAGATACTTCTCTGCCACTCCAGATTTCCTCATGCAATACCACACTTCCTCCCTCAGCACCCTGTCATATAGTTTTTTTCTAAATCCACAAAAACACAATGGAGTTCTTTCTGACCCTCTCTGTACTTCTCCATCAGCATCCTCAAAACAAAGATGGCCTCTGTGGTGCTCGTTCTTGGCATGAAACCATACTGCTGCTCACAGATAGTCACCTCTTGTCTAAGTCTAGTCTTGGTCTAAGTGCGAAAAGCCAATTTACAATGCAATATGCAAACCTTATGTTTGATTTTTTATGGTTTTCAACAACGAAACCTAACACAAGCTGTTTCTAGTTTAACTTGACTAGTTAAGGATTACATAAACATGGTGTTCATCAGTTATACATGACTTATATAGGAGTGTCCAATAATTTATAAATTGCAGCTTTGTGCCAAGTTGCAAAAACAATGAGACATCAGTTTCTTCACCATAAATAATACTGTCAGTTTGGCCAGCCCTAGAATAATTTTCTGGCTCCATTGCCACTGCGTGCAGCTTGCATGTCAACACAACTCAAAGTCACAAGCTTACAAAATATCAACCAAATGTCTGCTGTCTCTGCATTATATGCCACCAGTCTTGAACAGAAAACTAAACTAACCTGAAAAATGAATAATAACTTGTGTGTTTTCTAAAGACATTATAATCCAAACCTAATTTACAATCACAGATTAATCTTTGCAGTAGGATGACAGGGAGAAAGCTTATTCCTCCTGTTTATGTATGGAAGGGTCAGATGTCTCAAAAAGTCTGTCTTGTAGTCCTAGAGGGAAGAAAGATATACAGGCACAGCAGCACAGCTCAAACCAAAACTCCAAATCTGGATCTTGAAGGTTTTTGTGTAAAGTGAGGATCAACATCAGGGGAATTTTGCAGCAAACGCCCACTTTATTTTTAGGTTCAGTGTTGCCACAGGCTGGCCTTGGCTGGGGAAGGATCAATTCAGCTAATTAAAAAAATAAATAAATAATGTGTTTGGCTTCTGTTTACAGCATCCAGTAAAAATAAGGGTTTCAAGGACTGTAATGCTGTAAATCTGTCAGGACCTCATGTGTGAGACATCATTCTGTCAGGACTTGGATGTAAAGGTAACTGCTTGTTGTTAGCTTAAAGCGGACTAAAATAAAATCATATACCAAACGCTCATGATTTTGAACATGAAGCCCAACAGAACTGGATTACACCAAACCAAATCTGTCTGAAAGCCCTGCATTTGCAAGTCACTTTATGTTTTTTGCCATCAGCCATTGACAGGAGCTTATGTAGTGACTGAAATTATGAGATCAAGGACACAAGAAATGAGTTTTCTTCTGCTAACCCCTAAGGGAAGAAGTTAGGGGGTCAAGTTGCTCTTAGAGGACATTATCAGAAATGTCACACTATTACTGGCTGAGGTCTTTATTTTAGCTTAAAAAGACAATTTTAAAGGGTTCATTATGACATGACTGCATCACATCATTTCTGGAGCCCTTTCATCAGCAAAGTCCTGGCACAACGCTCCCAATATGGTCCTTCATGAAGCGTGAGGTATATGTACTGAGGTTAGCTCTGTTCTGCACAGCATAGTTTAAACAGTGGTATCTGAGTTATTGTAGACTGGCTGTCAGGACTAACCAGTCTGGCCAGTCTCCTCAGAGTCTCCCATCAACATTCCCTTTGAAGAGTAGTTGCTCAGTTTGTGTTTATAGGTCTGAATAACCAATAATCCATTGGACATAAAAAATTAAAATAAAAAGACAAATTAAAAGAATATTCAAAGATCATTGTATTGATTATGCCCATTCGATATTCAACAGGATGATTAACTTTTGTCCCTTACTTATCAGATTTTTTGTGCATTGTGTTGCTACACAGCTGGCTGACTGAATGATTATATGCACAAGCAGGTGTACGGGTGGTGTTTAACAGATGATGTTGGTAACGTCTTTATGGAGCCACTCTGAGAGGAAAGTCTGTAAAACAGAAAAGACAGGAGTGCAAGCAAACGCTATCCAGTTCTGCCTCAGTCATTTAGCAGCTCTTAAAAGGAACGACAGGGTGCAGCTGTAAACATTCAGATGCTGAGTGCTCCTGACATTTAGTCCAAGATGATAGCAGCTATCAAGCTGCTTAATAGGATTTTTTTTTAACTGATTACAAGTTATATAATGTGGAGAAAGAAATATATTTTTAGGTTTTGAAGCTAAAATCTTAAAAGAAAAGCAACTGAGTTTTGTAAAACTATGAGAGAGGGGAATCTGTATACTTTAGGCACAAATCTTTTTGTGAACACAAAATAATGTTAGAATTAGGGATGCACGATATTATCTGCATGGTATTGGTATTGGGCAATATTAGCGATAAAGTTAAATATCGGACATCGGCCATATCAAAGGCGCCGTTTATATATATATATATATATATATATATATATATATATATATATATATATATATATATATATATATATATACAAGGCACTGTTTTGTGTGAATGTTCGAGTGTCATTGTGTTAGAGAGAGTAAATGTCATGAATAAATTTGACATTAAACATTATCCAAGTTGAAGTGTTACATCATTTTCAGCCCTTTTTGGCATCTGCATTTGGTAGCAGGCCAAACTGACAAAGACCGTTCAGAAGAATAAGTTAATATTTAAATTCCACAGCAGGGAAAGCTATATTGTCTCTATAACTTTGTCTAGGGGAAAAAAATGGTATCAGTTATCGGCCAAATAATTTTTAACATACCGGCATTTCGGATATCGGCCAAAAATCCAATATTGTTCATTTCTAGTTAGAATCATTCTTTTTAGCTAATGTGTGAAATTACTAAATGAGCCTAAATTTATTTTTGAAAATACATTTTTAACATAATTTTTTGGTTTATGAATGAATCTGTTCAGCCACCCTGGTAACTGTTTTTTTTTTATTTTAAAATAATTAGATTAGATGAAAGTGTGAATGAATGGTTGTATAGTTTGCCTCTGTGTGGTCCTTGATGACTCTGCAACCCATACAGGATGTACCCCACCTCACTGTCTGCTGGAGAGAAGCACCAGGTGCCCCAAAACTCTGCATGGAAAAAGCAGATAAAGAATATGGATAGATGATTTAACTAAACTTCCCAACATATCCCATATTGTTGTAGTTTTTCTTTCAGCTGCTCCCTTCTGCAAGGAGTTGCCACAATGAGTGAACTTGCATTTGACAATTGTTTTATGTCAGCTGCCCTTCCTGATGCAACCTAACCCTGAACCTGCAGCGTCAGGATTACAGTACTGACCATTACATTATCACAGCATGGCAAGGCTGGTCATTTGGTAACATTGCTCCCCCTTCTGGAGCTTCATGTGATTCTTTTAATATTTTTTAGGAACAGGAAATGTCCAGACTGTGAGGATTTGGGTCTCCTCACTTGTTTTCTGTGATATTTAACTTGTTCTTTTTCTGGATATTTTCAGGTTCTGTTTTCCCTGTGTCTCATACTGCACATCTGCTCCTGCATTCCCTCCCCAGGTGTTCCTGTTTTGGTCCCCCTCTTGTGTGCAGCAGCATTATCCATACATAGTTGTGTAAATGTGATGATGAATGTATATGGTAGATATTAATGCCATTTTGAATCAGTTGTCCGAGGCCGGTGACATTCCCCCGTTAAATCCTGCAAAGCTATTAAATAAACAACTTTTTGTTCTCAGCGTTGGGATCTGCAGTTGGACTCATTCCCTGTGCCCTTGAAGAAAGAAATATATACATATACATATATACACACACACACACACAAACACATATGTATATACACACACATATACATATGATCTCTTAGATGAGGCTTGTTTGATTTTGTTTTCTCTTTCTGCAATAAATGCTGTAAGTACTTATGTCTGTGTTCACATATCTGTCCGTCAGCTAAATATATCACAAAATGAAGATTTTAATGTAATTCTAATAAAGTAATGGGTATACTTCTAAAGCTGATACAAGAAGGTCAACACAGCAATTTGATCTTAAACCCAAAATGGACATTACTCAAAAACTATAACGTGTTAGACGTAATCACAATTATACAACTTCAACATCATGGAAATTCATGTATTCATGCTGAGAGAACCACAGCAGACTATTTTTGTATCATGCTATGTAATGGGAGATGGCACTGGTAACCCCCCCCCACACACACACACACACACACACACACACACACAAACACACACAAACATACACCAGGGAAAATGTGTTTCAAGCCAAACGATACATCATGCAGTCGTTCTAGCCTGCACTCAAAACGAGGCTTTCAAACGGTTTTAATGTTTTGGATCTTTTGCTCCTTTTTCAAATGAACCAGACTAATGAGGTCAACCAGTTTAATTTAGTGCTCTGATGTTCCTCAGCAGCTGTCGTGTCTCACAGTGAGCACTGGCTGGACTCTCCAAAACTTTCCAAGACAAGGCGTCACCTGGTAAGTCTACAGCTCTTTTTGTTGATTATACAGATACTTGTTTTAAAACTATTCATGTTTGAGAAAATACAGATAAAGTTCAAATAATTTATTTAGATCATCTGGAGGCCTAGGAAGCCTAAACTTGTTTATTTTAAATGGTCTTGTAATTTGTTTACTAGCCCCAATTCACAATAGAATGTGATTTTTAGCCTTTATTTAGGATTTAAGGTTTAAAATCACGTCCTTTTTGTTTATGCTTTACATATTAATCTCCACAGAAAATCACAATGACTCTCCAGTGGACAGCAGTGGCGTTTTTCCTTTATGCAGAAGTAGCAGTTAGTCTGATCCTGTGTATACCCATTATATCAGCACAAAGGTACAGTAACTCTAATTTTAACCCAAAACCCCCCCACATATATTATGATAACGTCAAGTCCTGCGCATGGGCCAGTTTGAATGTCTCTAAGAAGGCAGTTCAGATGTTTCACCAGCAGAGAGCATCCATGTCTTTTATATTAGATTTAAAACTTGCTGCCTGTTTTTGCAGATGGCATTTGGTTTTTAACTGGAGGATATGGAGCCGGTTATCTCCATACTGGAACAAATTTTTCTTTGCAATGATCATGGCTCTTGTTGTTCTTTTCATTGGTAAGTCGTTCACCTGATGATGATGATCCAAGAAGAATTGAGACAATAATCAACACACAACCATCCAGAAATCTGAATTTTTTTTGTCCTCCTGTTAACCCACAGACGCTGTCCGAGAGGTGCGGAAGTACTCTGGTCCTGAGCCCATGCAGGATGCTAAAGCAAACCCAAACCTGTATGAACATGTCCAGATGAAGCTGTTCAGGGCGCAGAGGAACCTTTACATATGTGGTTTCTCTCTCTTACTCTGGCTGTTAGTGCAATTTTTGTAATTTTACAGTCACTTGAAAAAAACATACACAAGATGTCATTTGACATGTTTTTTTTTTTACCATAAATTCAAATGTATCTTTATCTAGCTCAGGGGTCTGCAACTCACGACTCTGGAGCAACTTGTGGCTCTTTGGTCCATCTGCAGTGGCTCTTTCAAGCTTTGACCAAAACTAACATAAAACTTAATTATTTTATTGGTTGTTATACAAACAACAACAAAAATATTGATTTTAGTAGTTTTCATGTCATTTATTTTCCAACGATGTGAATACCTGAACATGTACAATGAGTAAAAAATACTCACTTTATGCTTTATTTCTATACTTAATTATTTTTTCCAATTCTAAAAAAATTGCATAGGTCTGAATAGTTCATAGTTCTTATTAATAAAAAAAAAACGATCCCCCTTCCCCCCCTCTTTACAAGAATCTGGTCTTTTTCATTTGTCTTAAATTGTAAAAATATCAATAAATGTAAAAAATAAAGATTTTTTTGTTTTATAATGTCACTCCTAGTGGCCGCAAAAGTCTCCTTCAACAAAGCTGAAGTGGCCCATGGGCCACCAGTTGATAATCACAGGTATAGCAGGTTGTTGTGGCTCTGAACACTTGATTTACTGAACGAAGACGTAAAAATGTCTCTTTTGATGGTAAAGGTTGCAGACCCCCGATCAAGATTCATCACAAACTCATTTGTGTGTTTTGCTGTTCTACAGAATCACACGGCGAGTTGTTACTTTGCTAAATCAGGTTGCTGCCACCTTGGAGGACAGTGCAGGTCTTCAGGAGCAGGCAAACAAGGCCTTAGAAGCTGCTGAAAAGCAGCAAGAGGAAAATCAGAAGCTTAGAGAAGTGAGTATTAAACCTTAGTGTTTTTATTTGTGTGTTTATAACAAGTAGTGCTAAATATAGTGTTTTATTTTTAGGTTTTTACAGATCATAAGCATTTCAGAACGTAGTTCATGTAGCTTACATTGTATGTAAAAGCTTTTTTCCTAGATTTTCATTTCTGCTGTGAGCTTCATTAGTTAAACTTGATAACTCGAGTTGGAAATTTTGCTCAGGAACTCCTGGAAGAGAAAAAATCAACATCGGCAACAAAGCAACAAGTGAAGTTGGAGATCGAAAGAATAAAAAGTCAGCTGAGGGCTGCAGAAGAAGGCAAGTATGACTTCATTCACAAAGTAATATCAACAAGGTGGTTCTTTAAATAGCACATACCATTAAATCTATATTTTTAATAAAACAATATGATAAGAGACTAATAAAATCTAGAGTGTGTGGACTTCATAAAGTGATAGTTTAGGTGTTTTGAAGTGGGGCTCAATCATATTGATGAATGTTTCTGTGTCTAGCTGTGCGAAAGTCTCATGCTGAAGTTGAAGCAATGAGCAGGCAGGCTAAAGGTCTGGCACAGGAGTATGACAGACTATTAAGGGAACATCACCAGCTCCAGGTACACAGCACAAACCCTGATGACACATCAACTGTCTATCTCCTCTACTCATACCAGATTTCCTCCGTGTTTAATCCACAGAATCTTCATGGCGCTGAAGACAAAAAGGATCAGTAATCACTGGGATGCAGTGACAAATGAATGAAACACATTTTTATTAAAAAAAATAATAATTAAACCATGTATGTTCATGAACAATATGTATTTTCTTATATCACTGACTTAATTTTAGCAACACTATAAAATGTACTTTACTGTATAACAGGAGTTGATAATAAACAGAAAAATGTCTTAGGGGCTTATCGATGTTCCACCTGAGTTCACACGTTCTGGAGATTTATATTAAACAAATTCCAGCAGTAAGAAGAGGAAAAACTTTTGACTTAATGTGAGGCAAATTTTGTGACAGACCTTTGGAGAGCCACTGCTGCAGTATGGGGGTCTGTCAGCTAAATCTAAATAAAGTAATTTATAATATCATGAGTTACATTTCTTTGAGATGACGTTCTTTACTGCAGCACAGTCATTCAATGTTAATTTATTCATTTAAAGTAAAACTGAAAACTACACTTGACACCTACCAGTAAATGCCACAGTCTTCCCCACACAGTTGTCTTTTCAAAACCTGCAGGTTCATTAGTTTTAAAGTTCAGAAATGAAGTAAAAAATATACATTTTTAAATAGCAGTATATTTTTAACACTTTCCAGCAACGACATTGATTCTATGCAGACAAACCTGAACTGGACATCCATCCATTATCTTTACCCGCTTATTCCTTTTCGGATTGCGGGGGTCACTGGTGCCCATATCCAGCAATCGCTGTGCGAGAGGTGGAGGACACCCTGGACAGGTCTCCAGTCCATCATAGGGACACATAGAGACAAACAACCATTCACTCTCTCACTCACACCTAGAGACAATTTAGAGTTACCAGTCAGTCTAACCTGCATGTTTTTGGTCTGTGGGAGGAAACTGGAGTACCTGGAGAAAACCCACGCATGCACAGAGAGAACATGCAAACTCCAACCAAAAAGGCCCCCGGACTGGGATTTAAACTGGAAACCTTCTTGCTGAGAGGCAGAAGCTCTACCAGTTGTGCCACCGTGCTGCCTGTTCGTTAATAGGAGCAATAGAATTTTTCTACTTTTAAAACGTGGTATTTTTCATTCAAAACGCACTTAATTAACCAAATTTTTAGTATCAACTTTCAAAAATTATAGTTTTGAGAAAATTAAAAGTGTCAAAAAACACTCTATTCACATAATGAACACGAATGTATTGCCACTTCTTCAAATTATCACAGAAAACTATTTACATAAATCTGAACAGAATCATAGCAGCAGTCAGACCAAGTAACAGAGCTTAATTAGTAAAACAATAGATAATGGAACGTAAATAAAGGGCAGGCTGGCCAGGGGGAGTGGGGCTCTGGGGGTTCTGGGGTTCTGGGAACATTATAGAGTGTGTGTGCGTGCGTGTGTGCACGCGCACCAGTGTGCAAAAGAGTGTACACTATTGTACAAAAAAAACAATATTTCATCTATTCATTGAGCATGCATCAGAATATTTCATCTAGATTTCCTTACTTTAATTCCATTTAAAGCATGTTTCTCAACAAGTTTGTGTAAATTCAGCTGTGGGTTTTAAAGACATTTTAACTTTAATGTACTTTAACGCCTCAGATTGGCACTATTTGTGTTTATAGAGAAATGAAAAACATCACCGCTGGACTTTTTTACTTGTGTTCAACACTACTCATCTAAATGATGTTTCTCATGAAGCTTGAAGACAATAAGGTGTGGGGTTTTAAAGACATTTCAACTTTAATGCAGCTGAACACACAGCGTCTCTTACACCTGCAGCGTCTTACAGCGTCACAGTTACTGCTAAGATAAGATGCTACAGACGCATCGCTCCGCTTTTCTCAAGCATCCTCCTAACCATGTAAATATGTTTAGGACCAACCCCCCGGTCAACAAGTGCCCGCACTAAGCTTGCTAAGCTGGCGAGCAACCCAGAGGTGTCTCCACCTCCTCCACCTGTGACCGTTCTCTGCCGAGGCAGGATGTGATGCACAGAAACACAGCAGGCTGCAGGCTGCTGGAAAGTTGGAGGTAACCAGGAAAACCTGGAGTGGATTTTTAGTGGTTTGAGTATTCTCATATTAATCAAGTGGAATTGATTCATTCACGAAGAAAAACTGCACCGACTGAACTAATGTTTCATTAATAAAAGCGGGGGGTCCAAATGAAGGTTTTTTTAATGTGTGTGTGTGTGTGTGGGGGGGGGACATGTCCCCTTCACATAGAATGGTTGCGGCGCCTATGCTAAAGTGGCAGATAATACTTTTGTTTTATAACTTTAACTAGCATTGTAACTGTACCACTGACTTTTCTTAGCTGTTTATCCTCTGTCATCTCATTGCATAATGTTTGTAAGGAAAACTCTGCAGAGAGTGGTGAAAGCTGCACAGAAGTCTGTTGGTGTCAGCCTCCCCACCATCCAAGGACACATCTACCATTCGGGCAATCTGGGCATGTGCCCAGGGGCCCTTGGCACAGAGGGGGCACTCTGCCGGCAGAAATGTTTTTGCCGCAACCTGCAACAAACACCGGGGCACTTTGACTCCACTCATCCGTGTGATACAGCACTGTGAGGAAGGATGGTGAAGCTGCTCACAATAACAGTCGCGATGGGGCAGTGAATTTCCAGTTTTCAAAATAAAACACAAAACCCCATAAAATTGACATATCTCACCTTATTTCTAGTGCTTTTACTGTAGAAAAGTTTCTACAAGAAACTTCCGGTCTGACCGTGGAAGTATCAGTACTGTGGGGTTTTTTTTGTAAGTTATTTGTATTCAGTTTATCAGCACAAACCTTGTTTTTGTTTAAATGTGAAGTTTACTAAAATGTCCTACCAGGGTTCAGATAACTGCTGTTCGCGGCTGCACGAACAACCAGACCAAACTAAGACTACAGAAAACAGTGTTTTGGAAACCACTCAAAACTCTGTTTCTGTGCTCATTTCACTTTGTAAACAAACGTCCAACGGACACTCTGAGTTTCATAAATTTGTATCCTGCCTACAAAAAAGAAAAAGACCAGAAAAAAACTTCTAAAGGTAAAAGCCATTGTGCTTTCTGTGAAATGAGTAAGCCAATAAACTGCTGTGATTGTGCAGATAATACAGTGCTGGTCATAAAATTAGAATATCATGAAAAAGTTGATTTATTTCAGTAATTTCATTCAAAAAGTGAAACTTGTATATTATATTCATTCATTACACACAGACTGATATATTTCAAATGTTTATTTTAATGTTGATGATTATAACTGACAACTAATGAAAACTCCAAATTCAGTATCTCAGGAAATTAGAATATTACTTAAGACCAATAAAAAAAATTGATTGAAATGTTGGCCAACTGAAAAGTGTGAGCATGAAAAGTATGAACATGTACAGCACTCAATACTTAGTTGGAGCTCCTTTTGCCTGGATTACTGCAG